TTATGAAAAAAAGCCAATTTCCAGGAAGTGCTTGGCAGGTGGTGGGTAAAAGATTTTGCACTATGGTCATAGCTTAGAAGAAATACAATTCTAAGGGAAAAGAAATAAAGGAAAAATTTTGCTAACCTGGAACAGAACCCTAGCTCCCAACTCACAAGAAGCTCCTTAAAATAGCTAGGAAAAACCTGCCTCATCCAAAGATTAAAAAAAAAAAAAAAAAAAAAGAACCCAAGATTCACACCAAGATATAAAATGTAAAGGAAGGAAAAAATAAAAAAGTGGCAAATGATTTTGACAAAAAAATGAGTCATGTGATAGATGAAAATCATCAAATACTTTCCCATGAATATTGTAACGGTTAATCTTTACTGTCAACTTGAATGCCTTAAAAGATGCCTAGAAAACTAGTAAAGCACATTTGTGGGTATGTCTGGGTGGGTCATGGGGCCTGAACTTGGAGACTATATCTGGTTCGTGGATGTTTCCTCTCTGGCATTCTTTCCTTGGTCTCTACTTCCTAGATGCCATGATTTGAGTGGCTTTCACCCACCACGATGTTTCTCCCTTGGAGCCAGCAGACCATGTACTGAGATCTCTAAAACTTAGACCCAAAAATAAACATCTCTTCCTTCAAGTTTTGGGTATCAGGTATTTTTTCCTAGCAACAGGAAAGGTGACTAATAGAAATATACAAAAGCAAAGTAAGCAACTCTGTCTGTAACACATGAGAACAAAACAAACAGGTGGAAAACAAATATAAATTGTTTTTAAAATATGATAACAAAAGAAAATGTAAAATGTGAGTTGAGTGAAAAGAAAAACAAAATAAAAAATAAAAACATCTTAGAAATGAAGATCAAAATGCTAGAGAAAAAACTAATGATACAGTAGTGTTAATGGGATCAAGGGTTTAGGGGAACTTGAAAAACAGAAATATGCAATTTAAAAGGATATCTAAGAAAATGAGAGACATGAAACCTATACAAAGGCAATATACATTTACTTAAAAGAAAATCCAAGTACACAATAGTTGGGTTATTTTTGGTACTGGGGATCAATCTCAGGACCTTGTTCTTGTGAGGGAGGCGCAGTAGAGTACACAATAGTTAACAGGCTACGATACTGAAGTTGAACACAGTAACTGCAGACAGTTCTATTGACATACAATAGAACTCAGTTCATGAACTCAATTTTCTCCACGATTCTGGCTGCAAACTGAACTGGATGAGAACTGAATAAAATTTTCCCGTAAGGTCAACATTGAACTCAACCATTGAATTAGATTCAGTTCTCGTCTAACTCAGTTTATGACCGGAATCATGGAAAGAATCAGGTTTTTTTTTTTTGGTACTGGGGATCAAACCTGGGACCTCGCGCTTGCCGAGGCAGGCAGTGGAACCACTTGGCTAAATTTCAGGCCCAGAAACAATCAAATTTTTGAACCTAAGTACCACTGTAACTACTAAATAATCTAAAACAAAGATAAAATTCTTAAACAGCACAAGGCAAATACATTCAAAGGGAATTAACAGGTCAAAGTAATGGCACTATTTTTCAACAGCAACACTGGGAAGCCACATAACAGTGGTCTGATAGTCATAATGTATTAGAAAAAAATAACTACCAACCTACAATTCTATATCCAGCAAAATTATCCTTCCTGAAAAGAGATTAATTTTTCAGGGAAACAAAAACTGTGAGGGCCAGGGATTTAACTCAGTGGTTCTGCCGCCTGCCTTGCAAGCTTAAGGTCCCGAGTTCAATCCCCGGTACCAAAAAAAAAAAAAAAAACCTGTGAGCTGATCCGCATTAGAAGAAACTCTAAAAGACTGTACTTGAGGAGGGAGAATACAAACCTAAGAATAAGATCAAAGATATAAACAGTAACAAATAGGGGGGAAAATCAGAAAATATTTGGGTAAAATCAATGAACACTGTATAAAAGATGAATACCAATATTTTACAAGGTCTTTAAATTTGAAATCAAAGTAAGTGACAATACAGAGCGTAACAATCATGAAGGCTGAGTTCAATTAAGCTGAAAGTCCACTAATTCTTTTTATAGGCAAAGAGAAAAACTACTGACAATTTTGTTAACTGTGTACTTGCTATAATTTCTAGGCTAATCTTAAATATAATACAAACATGGTATATTATAGCCAAATAAATAGAAAGGAAAAAAATAAAAAGTAAAAAGATGAGAAACAATAATCAAAAAGACAAAGAATGGATATGACAAAGTATATAAAGTCAAATGGTAGGTTTAAAGCCATATATTTATTAGTAATTCAATCATGTAAGTAAAATCTTTTTTTTTCAAGTAAAATCTTAAATGTTCAAATTAAAAGAAAGCAGTACCAGCGCAAGGACCCGAGTTCGATCCCTAGTACCAAAAAAAAAAAAAGAAAGAATGCAGTACCACTGGATTTAAAAAATTCAATTAAATTTACTTCTTTTAAAAAGGATACAAAAGAGCCAGGGATTTAGCTCAGTGGTTCCGCCACCTGCTGCACAAGCGCAAGGACCTGAGTTCAATCCCCAGTACCAAAAAAACAAAGATAAATGGAAAATAAAAGACTGAAAAAGATACGCCATGTAAATACTAAATGAAAATGAATGTTTTAATGTAAGATACTTTGTACTTTAAGGGTTTACTAGACATAAAAAATAAAGTATTTAATTGAAAATAGAAAGCTAGATTACAAATTGGGGGGTGGTGAATATATTTGTGATTCTATGGTGATGTCTTTGTGCACATATATGTTAAAACATAGCAAATTGTAGAAAATATGTACAATCTATGAGATACGGCTCAATAAAACTATAGAAAGGTAAATCAAATAAATAACATTTGTCTATTGTTTTATATAGCCAGTCTAACTCATACAAAAATTTTAAACAGGTAGAATAAAATGAAGAAGAGAGACCTATAAAAGGAAATTTTCTTTCTGGTTTTTCTTTGGTGCCGCGGATCAAACTCGGGACCTTAGCTTGCAAGGAGGAAGTTTTATTTCTATAACAAAAATAAATAAATAAAACCTCTGCAAAGGGAGGTTTTCAGTACAATTTTTATCTCTTTGAGTAAAACTTTCCTTTTTTTTAGGTTAATTTCTTCTGCCTATCATTAGTAGATTCTACACTGTCAGAGAGGTAACAATTATTCGTTCAGGAATCATCTCTAATGAAATTAAATGTAAATATGGAGATGTTTCTAAGCAAGCAGAAGAATAAATACAGCCTGACACTTTTTAAATATACAGAATAATCTTCAAGATCATACTACTTAAAATATTAAATATTGCAAAAGTAGTTTTTGTTTCCTCCATTGTAAGAAGCTTGATACAGACACTTTTGATTCCCTAGACTTTCCTATTTTGTAGGCAAGAGCTTTTTGTTCTTCTCTGCTGTTTTCAGTGGAGCAAAGACCAAAATACACTGTTTACTTCCTTATTTGTCCAACAAATCATCAACAGTGAAGTCAGCAGCAAACTGAACAACCCTGAAAGGAATGCTTATTAACTAACAGTAATCCAAGCCAGTTGAGGAAAGCCCATAACAGTACAAAAATATGACCTGGCTCTAGGTTTCAAAAAGTTTCAAAAAAAGTTACCAAGTTTTCTAAATTTGGTTCCCTTCTAGAGCCCTATGGATAAGGTGAGTATCTGTAGCAGTCAAAGTTGGATGTGCTTTTAACAACTTTTCTTAACCAACCAAGGAGACTACTAAAGAGACAGTTTTAAAATATAATTGTCTCGAGCCTTATAATTATATAAAGTTATCCATGGTTTTTTTTAACTTCCCTTAACAAAATTTTATCAAATATATTAATGACAAAAGGTCTGAAATAAAACCAATCAACCAAAAACCATAAAATTACCTATACTTTCCCCAGTTTATGAAATTGAAAAAAAAAATTTACTGTTACAAAAGATATATATTCACTGGTGGCATTTTAATGGATGTTAAGAAACATATATTCTATTTGTTCATATGTCAAAAGTATATGCTATTTCAAACATATCAATGATTTATTTGTAAGTATCATAAAATAAGCATCAGCAACATAAAACTCTTAGAGGCAAGTTTTTCATTACACTTAACGAAACAGAACTGGAAACAATTCATTTTAGGTTAACTTTAAATTTATAAACTCAAAGAAGGCAGTATGAGTTCTGTTTTCCTTAGCTATAAAATCTCCAACAGGAGTACCTAATAACAGCACATAAAAGTAACAGCAATAAGCCTACAAAATATGAAAGCAAAGCATTAGATATTATTCCTTATTTCTTTTTATTTAAAAAGGCACCGAATTCAATTCCACACATTTTATATTGAGCACCTATTCTGTTCTTTGTCACTATGAAAGTAACAAAACTATTTTTAAAAAAAAAAGAGGGAAAAAGGTGTCAGTCTGTAAACAAGAGTCCCTTTTTATTTTAAATAACAAAACATACTGGGTCTTAAGTATTCAAACAGTGTCATCCTTCAAAGCAATGACATTGGGAGATGATCAGATATTCACATTCTTCCAAAGCCACATATAGGCCACTTAAGAAAATCAGCTACTACTGGCATTCACTCTATACAGAGGGTGTTTTAAATACAAATTTCTTTGCTCCTTATAAGTTTTTACTAACAGTACTATCTGAAATCCAACATCCTCTCTCCAAAATTACAGTGCTAAAGACTCTACTGGCAATTGCCAAAAACACTTGGAAACAGGTGATACTGAAGGTAATATCAAAAGATTATTTCTAAATTGGCCTACTGCTACTTAAGCAGATGTTTTCTCATGATGACAAATTTAAGCATGTGAGTTTACATTCCTCTTTTTTTTAAGGCACCATTATGAATCTATCTTACATGAAAGAACTCCCTAACCCAAGGAACTAACAATATTTATAGAGTAAAGTAATAAAAGAAAAAATTAGGTAAGAGTCTAATGGGAAAAACTCTACGTTCTTTTTGAAAAAGTTACCCTAATAATCAAAGTTTCATACCATTTACAGCTTTCTCAATCAATTCTTCACAAGCATCAAAATCACCCTTCAATACCAGTTTGTCGTGCAGATCTGTTAACATAGGATGTTCCAGTGCTATCTTAGTTTTCTTTTGCAGTGATTCAAAAGCCTCTGTATAGTTGTGTTGTCTGAAATGTTTTAGGCAAAGGCGAATGGCTTCCTGTTCACGGTACTACTAGAACACAAGAGAAAGCATGCAAAAAGAAATTTGCTTAGTTGTTACCACAGGAAAAAAATAACACTAAAAATAACTAACCTAAACTCAGCACTTACTATTTGTTAAGTACTGTACTAATCTGATTATCATTATTTTCATCTTTTAAATAGCAAAACTGAAGCTTAGTTCAGTTGGTTGTAGTAACTTGCCCAAAGGAAATGAAACCAGACCTAATTCCAGAGTCTGAACTTTGAAAAAAGATGTAACACTATGTGTAATGCTCATTTAACATTGTAAAAATCTTACCTCCCACAACTTTCACTAATCCAATTACAATGCAAGTACCAAAAGCATAAATTATATCATGCTTTTTGCTCTTGCTTAAGAATAAACTGTTATAAGAATGACAGGTATTCTAATTTTATAAACAGGTTTTACAACTCAAAAATTATCATACAGAAATTAAATTTATCATCTATTAATCCAAAAAGTAGGCACTTAATTTATAAAACTTTTCCCCTAACAGGATGAATAACAAAATATAAGCTCATAAAAAGAGGCCTGGTGGTGCATGCCTGTAATCCCAGTACCAGGAGGCTGAGGCAGGAGGATCACAGTGAGTTCAAGGCCAGCCTGAACTATAGTGAGACTATCTCAAAAAAAAAGAAAAGAAAAGAAAAACACAAAAATCAGAAGAACTTTTTTTAAAAAATGAACTGCAAGAATATGTTCTGGGATTACCTGAAGTTTTCTAAGTATACCACTGTACAACAAAAATTAACAAAAGTACCATATAATTAAACAATGATTATAAAAATCACCCTTTAGAGAGGAAGAAAATAAGGATTTGAAACACAAATTTGTTTATCGCTAGCTAGCTGACTTCTTGACTAATAAAAGGTTATGAAATATCCACTCCTCACACACTGTAATTACCAAGATTTAACCTTATCAAATAATCAAAGAATGATTCTATATCCATTCTAATTTTACAGTAATAGCTTTTTTTGGTCTCTAAAACAAGATCTATCATTATCCATATAACAATATACTATAATTATATTAGAAACAGTAGCACCTGTTTATCATGTTGACTCTAGGGTCTCCATCATACCCACATCTTAAAATTTCTATCAGGTAATAACTAAGCCACTAAAAGCCATGTTCAAAGTATCTATATCAATATAGGTTAAAAACAAAATTCAGAGCCAAATCATTGTAAGATAATGGCAGACTATAGAGCCAGACTACCTAAGTTCATATAATGGCTTGAGCTCTTAACAACTGTGTGATTCTGGGCAACATATTTCACTTCTCTGTGCTCTATTTCCTCATCTGTATAATAATGAAGATAATAACTGCACCTACTCAGAGTGATAACAATTAAATGAATTATCAAGATTGGTTAGAAGCTGGCACAGTGTTAATGCTTAAAAATGTTAGTTGTTGAATCACTGTAACTTTTATTATTAATCTCAGTATTTTAAATTATTCTCAATGAAGATAAGCAAGTCCTCCTTCTACAGGCATTAAACATAAGGTCAAAATTTAAAAACATAACCCTACCTTGCTGTACCAGTTGAGACATGGTTGTACTACATCAGGATCATCAATGCCACTAAGTTCAACATACCAGATGCTAAAGTTAAAACTGGGTCCCCAGGACAAGAGTGGAACTTTAAGAAGGGAAAAAAAAATTAACATAGTGCAATAAAATCTTAACAAACTAAATCACTATTAAAGCCTGTAAGGATTTATTCAACAATGTTTTCTGAGCATCTTCTACATCCCTAGCACTACATGCTAGATGCTAAGGCTATAGTAGTAAAAAAGAAACACATGACCCCATTACACCATGAGGTTTCCTTAGTTAACAAAACCCAGTAAGATAATTCAAAGTGGTCATATATATATATCCCCAAATAAACAAAACCAGAACTAGGTGATTTAACAAGTCAATTTCACAAAACCTACATAAGAATATAATTATATTATTTAAACTAGGTCAAGAGTATAGAAAGAGATTTAAAGTTCAATTATTTATCAGCAATAATCAGGATATTAAACTAATCACTGCTATGAATGTATATCTAAATTAAAGAAAAAAATGAGAAAAATTTCACCAGGTTTTCATTGTAACCAAATATACTTCATTCCAGGAAAAGAAAGATGATTCAGTAATAGGAGCTATATTAATGTAATTCACCACCTTAATAAAATGCTAAAAGAAAAACATTATTTACTTATTTATTTATTTTGGCGTACTGGGCATTAAACCTAGGGATTTTGCACTGAGCTACATCCTCAGACTCTTTTATTTTTTATTTTGAGACAAGGTCTCACCAAACTGCAAAGCTGTCCAGGCTGGGCTCGAATTTAAGATGCTCCCGTCTCAGCCTCCCACAGTGCTGTGCCATCAAGCCTGAGTGTTTGATTACTTGATGCCAATAATAAACTAATAAAATGTAAGTTCTATTCATTGTTTTTTAAATCCTTTATATATAAGGAATATAAAGCAAGAGGAAATTTCCTTACCTAAATGTTTTTAAAAAGCATCACAAACTTTAAAAATTAAACCTAATGAAGACATATTAAATATTTCCATTCAAGTCAGAACAAGACAAAAAGGCCCAATATCACTACTACTCAATACTATACGAGAGGTCTTAGCTACTGCAATAAGAAAAAAAGTCAGATTAAAAAAATTGTCACCAGGCACAGTGGTATACATCTGTAATCCTAGCACTTACAGAAACTGAGACAGGAGGATAGTAAATTCAAGTCCCAACTAAGGAACTTTGTAAGAACCTGTCTCAGAATTTAAAGCATGAAGTTCAGTGGCAAAGTGCTCAAATTCAATCCCCACCTCCTCCCTAAAACAGAGCTGTTTGAAGATTATAGGTAACTCTCCACCTTAAAACTTCAAAAGATCCAACTGAAAAGCTTTTTCAAGTTTGTTTACCAACATAAACATGTAAAACTCAACGTGTCCTATACTTGTAACCAATTAGAAAATAAAACAAATCACCTTTGTAATCGCAAAAAAGGCTGAAAGTTATCGCAGAATATAGCAAAAACATGCAATATTTATTAAAAAATTTTTACTGAAAAGCTGAATAAATGAAGTGACATTCTATCTTCCTCAATAGTAAAACTCAATGTTGTAAACATGTAAATGCCCTTCATTATAAATTTAATGTAATCTTAATTAAAAAACCCAGTGGTATATATTAATTTTTCTTGACGTGTAACTAAACAAGTTGACCTAAAAAAGGAACACAAGAATATCCACAATAATAAAATAGTAACACAAGTATACTACAAAGATATAATAATCATATCACTCTGTTATTAGTCCAAGAAAAGGAAAATAAATTAGTAGAACAGGGGAAAAAACTAGCCAAAAATCTCTGACGTATCCGGAAGAATTTAACACAGAATGAACCAAACTTTGCATCAATAACAATGGAACAGTGCAGAAGTTTCAAAAACATGATCCTTGAACTTCTGGAGATTCCCACAATACTTTTCAGCAGTTTCAGGTGGTCAAACTACTCTTTGTAATACACCACCATATACTTAAACTCTAGTAAAAAAGAGAGTTCACTTAAGGATGTTTCTGATGATGCAGTAAAAATTAGTCTTATTAAATCCCTATGATTAAATATACATCTTTTTAGTATTCTGTGTGACAAAACTGGAAGTTTTAAACGACTTTTACTGCACAACAAAGCATAATGGTTACCTTAAGGAAAACGATGTGTACAACCACCATTTCAGCTATGAGCCAAAATAAGTGGGTCTTTTTCTGTATAGGATTCTTATGCTTGACAGAGAAGGTGACCAATAACCTGATTATTCAGATTTGGGTATTTGTTAGACATTCAAGGAAAACTAAAGATAAAAACTAAAGGAAAAAAATCCAAAGGAAAACTAAAAACAAAAATCAAGAAAAACTAAAGACAGGAGCTGTTGAAAATAAAATTCGAATTTTTAAGAGAAAATCAGAATTTTGGAAAATGAGTGTCTAGGAGTTTAAGCTTAACTAATTTCCCAAGATTTTTCTGATTGGAGGTAATATTAATGAAGATGATTTTAAAATATTATATAATGGAATGTTTCAAAGATCTGTATAACTCAGTGAACCATTTTCTAAATGACAAATGACATTATAGAATCACACATGGATAAAAAGTCCAGGATAGACCACATTATCTGATTGCCAAGCCCACTGAATTCAAAGTTCATTGCCCTTTTCATCATATCAGACTAAAAAAGGAACTAAGACATATGGATCAGATATTTTTCCTATAGTTATTTAAAGGAATCTGTGTGAGTAAAGACAGACACAGGCAGTAGCAACCAACCATGTGGATATATGAAACACTGTGAGAATGTTTAATATGGTTTTCAGCTTACATGTGCAAATAAGAAAATTTTCCAAAAGTTTTTGAATCAACAAATCCTAAATTTTCACCTGTTTTATCCACTCTTTCCCCCTCTCTCTTGTTTTCCACTCCCCCACCCTGCCCCGTCCCATTTCATTTTTTCTTTTAGAGGTACTGAGGATTGAATGCAGAGCATTTGCATTGAGCTATATCCCCAGGTCTTTTTTTTTTTTTTTTTTGAGTGTCACTAAGTATAAGCTGCTCAGGGTGGATTCAAACTTCCTGCCTCAGCCTTCCAGAGTGCTGGAAATACAGGCATGCACCATGATGCCCAGCTTGTTTATTTCTTTGTATAGCACTGACATTTAAAAGTCTACTACATCACACAGCAATAACCACCAAGTAGTATAAGTCAGAATAAAACATGATTCTAATCCCAGAGCTACAAGAATATATACATGTAACCAGATACACAGTATTAGAGGTTCAAGTTCAATAAAATTAAGAGAAGGGGAATCTTCCTATTAAATCTATTTAAGTCTCAGCAAAATATCCATTTTTTATAACACTTAAACAATTTTATTCCAATGAGATTTACTCTGTACACCCAGTGGCCCAATAGAAATGTTTCTACAATAAAATTTGTTCTATTTTGTACATTTGAAAGAACACAGGAGAGGAAGGTCAATTTCCAAGTCATCTAACAAAGGATGTCTTACGTTACTGATGAATGAACATGTAATTGTTAACAAATTAAAGGAATTTGTACAAAATGACAAGATGATATTCCCTCATTTCAACTTACCAATGTCTTTTTTTTTTTGGTTCCGGGGATCAAATTTAGGACCTTGCTCTTGCAAGGCAGGCATGGGACCACTGAACTAAATCTCCGCCCTGACTAATGATTTTTGGGGGCATTAACAATCTTAATAGTTCATATCAGACATATTATATATGATTTATAAGAAATCTAAATGTGAATTGGGGGCTCTGGAGCCACATTATTTAATCTCTTTATAGAATGTGTCTCTGCTCCCACCTTAAATAAAAGAATAAGAAACTCCTAATAAACTGTATACCTCAGGAGTAGTAGTTTCTACAGTTCAACCACCAGTCTTTCCCAAAGGCCAGACACAGACACAATCAAGATGCATCCTTTTTCATAAAATGGGATACATACAGCAAAAGAAAGCTACCAGACTAAGACTCTTGCTACTCTTAATTGAGGCACAACTGTGGCATATTCAATGTGCTTTAACAATATTACTTAGGAGCTCTTTTCTAGATGAATAAAACAGCTATTTCAAGATGCCAGTCATTTTAAGATCAGGTTCCAGAAGATCCTGAAAATTCAAGATTAACCACTCTGAAGAAGTATCTATTCCACTATGGAATTAATAAGTATACAAAGTATTTAGCAAAGTAACTGATATAAACTAAGTGCTTGATAAACGCTAGTCTTTATTATCACTAGTATTCTTATTTAATTTTCATTTTAATAACATGTTTTTAAAATGTTGCCTTTCCACTCTCATAAAAGGCTATCTATCTATCTATCTATCTATCTATCTATCTATCTATCTATGTATCTAACTATGCCCATGCAGAACCAGGATACCTTCTAGACTTAAGATCCAACCTAGACTTCCACACACTCTGGAGATTCAGAATATATGTCACATCCAGTCTAAACTGAAGTTTCTCTGAAGGCCCCACAACCATTTGGGCTGCAAATGACTCCTTTACAGAAGTTCATTGTTTCCATAACTAACAAAAACCAAGACTCCTGCTAAAATCCTTCCAAGACTCAGTATCTCTTTCTTTCTTGCTAATTTCCTCATTTAGCTGTTACCATGATATAAATGAAGATGTACATTCTTCTAGTCACTGGTAACCAATACTCATCCCATGACATTTTAGATTTCCTTTCCTTTGATCCTATCTCCCACTGAAGTTCTCCCTCCCAGATTTTTAACTTACTTTCTGGAATCTATCCTCCAATTAACAATGCTCCTCCTTTACTAATTTTCCCTATCTTTCTAAGCCTTACCTGAAGCCAAGATTCTTTCTCTCCACTTCCACTCTAAGTCCCATCAAAAACAGTACTCCAGTAAGAGCTCTTTGCCTTGCATCATGATCATTTTTTGGCTGCTCAGTAAAACCTATGACATACCACCCTTAGTTTTAAATATATAAAGTAAAACACAAAAAACTGCAGAGTAAATCAATTATATTAAAATACAGTTATAAGATAAACATTATAAGAAATTAATATTCTTCCATTAATACATTAAATAACAAGATCTAGTGGCAGGTCTAATACCTAAACATAATTTCAAGGTTGTGATGAAATACGCAACACTAATGTGATAGAAAGAACCTGTAACTTTTATTTGTAGCTTCTAAACTTGGACAAGTCACAGGTGCTACAACTACTATTATCAGTTATTATTCATAATTGAAAAAAATGCCAAATGTTAGTGACCAGTTAGGAAACATAAAGATGCAACTTCTTCCTCAGCAAATTCATGAAGCTACTGATTTATCCCCTGAAATTCTTATATAATTCAAAAAGTAATAAAGTACATACACAAATGTCTACACTAAGGAAAGCAGTTTGCTTGGCACTTTTGAAATTTGAGGAAACAGAAGACGGTTACTCTCTCCAAGGATTTCACAATCATCCTAAGGAAATAATACATATATCATATGGTAAGCGAACTTGACCTTTGGAAGTAAATAGACTTGAGTCTATGTCCAATCACTACATTTTAATACTAGTATGGTTTTAGCCTAAACACTTAACTTCAACACTTCAGTTTCCTAACCTGTAAAGTAAGTACAATAATACCAATGTCAGTAAGTGTTAGGTGTTTCATAAATAGTACTTACTGTTATGTAAAAGCAGTACAATGTTATGAAGTTCAAAGTGTTATGCATATAACACAAATTCTATGTCTTTGACCATCACAGGCTAGCTAACTTATTGATCTCTGCCCTGTTTATTTAACTAAAAAAGGAAAGATTTTAATCTGCTGTTAAGATACTACATGTGAAAGCCCTTACAAAACCATTAAAAATAATATAAATATTAAAAATTCTAAATGATTGCTGAAATGACATCATGATCCAAATTATACCCGTACATATTCTTTTTCTATAGTACCTAAAGAGACATTCAAAATGAAATCATTTCCTTCATAAATGTAATCTTAAAATTTAATAACTACCAACTGCTCCACAAATCAGAACAGAACTGAAGAAAATGTCCAATAAAACTATCTACCCTATCATTAGTCACAAAAGGTATTACCATCCTCATTTTATACAAAAGGTAATTTTAAAAAGAAATATAAAATTTACCTGAAGGAAAGCAGCCAATAATACCAATTTTTACAGAAAACTCAGAAAGTTATCCAAATATTAACATTCTAAATATCACATATAAGCACCTACAATTATTTGGAAACCCCCTGCCACATAGTAAAACTGGGATTCTCTTCCTTGTTAACAATTTGGGATCACATTCTAATTTAGTTTATGCAAACAATGAATAAGATATATTCAATGAAAATTATAATTAGATGTCACTGCATGATTTGAAGACAGTCTGTCATTGAGTTAGTCTTGCTTCTGTTTCCTTCCTTTAGTATGAAGAACTGAAAGTTAACTATATGTAGAAATTGTGTTATTTTAAGATAAACTGGTTTAAATAAATCAAGATCTTTTAAACATTATCACTGTAGAATATAAACGTGAAGTAACCAAAAACTTTTAAGATAAATTCTATTTATCCCAACCAGATATACAAATATCTATGCTAAATCATAACTCACCAAAAGAGAGCTACAGATTATTCAAGTCTTTATCAGAATGAGTTTGTAAAACATATGGTGATAAACCAAAATAATAACATACAGCCTTAAAGTTTCACAATATCCTTATATTAATTTCAAAGAAAATTTATCAAGAAAATGTCCGGGAAAAGTTAGAAAGCATTGCAAACTAGTACTAACATCTTTTTTTTTGGCTTAAATTCTTTTATTGGCACATTTTAGGTATACAATATGTTTACATTTATCATTGGTTGCTTGTACCTGTACATGATGTTTCTTGGTTCTTATTTTTTCCCCATTCCCTGCGCACCCTTCCCTACTTACAAAGACTTTGTTTCCATTTTTTCCTTTTCTCATAATTTTTCCTTTCCCTTTTTTCCTTTTCAATACTAACATCTTTTAACTGACAGGAAATATGAAACTGTAAATATTCTGAATATCAAATGAGTAATATCTATTTTTTTTGAAAACTCCAATTAATATTGTGTCTGAATACCATAAAACTAACCTGGGTCAAATAAAAGATATCCCTTATCATAAGAAGGTTGATAGTGGGAATGGAGAAACAGTATTCAAAAGATACAAAGTTTAAACTAAACAAGAGAAATAATTTCTAGAGATTTACTGTACAAAATGGTGATTATAATAATGTACTGCATACCTGAAAACTTCTGAGAGTAGATTTTACAAGTTTTTAACACACACCCCCACAGAGTGTGAGATAAAAGTTATATTAATTAGTTTGATTTAATCACATCACAATATGCACATATATTGAAACATGCTGTACATCTTAAATATATATAAAAGTATAAATACTCAATCACTCAGCAAAAGAGAGAAAAAAGGAAGAAAAAAAGGCTGATGGAGGAAGGAAGAAAGGGCTCTCCTGTCTACAGATTTGAAATACATGATCACAAAATTGATAAAGCTATGCAAAGGCCTTTAGGAATTTGGGCAGTCTAAATACTGATAAAAGAATTACTTACTAGTACAAAAGAAGAAACAACCAACAGTTAATTTATTGCAAGAGATCAGAATATAAGTTCTTATTTACAATTATTTACTAAAACAGAAACAATAGTTACAAAAGAAAAATAATGCACTGGATATCCAACTAATCAAAAAACAGTTTTCCCTCAACAGTCTTTTATTAAGACCTCAGATAATCTTTTTGCCTAATATTTCAGTTGGACTATTAGTTATACAGATGAAATCTGACTAGAACACAAGTGTTTTATAGGTTTTAATAAATGAATTTTTTATTTTTATACAATACTGTACATGCAGATATTAATAAAGAAAATATAAAAAGCACTCTTCCATGAAAAAAATAAAACAAAATTCATAACAAAATAATTAGAGAATAGCAACAGTTAATACACTGAATGTTTTGCTGAGACTTGAGTAGATGTAGTATTTTTCACTGTGAGTAGTATACTAGAATCTCATACATTCCTTTTGACTCAACCAAATGAACAGGCTTACCCTTAATAGCATAACACATTATGACTATAAAATACATTGTAGGATTCTAAATTTTATTATTATTCCTTTTGAAACATGACTCATTTCAATATATTTTCAAAAATGTACAATAGAGATGGAAAGAAAAAGATTCAAATCTTCAACTTTCCTACCTTCTAAATAATAAATCCTAAAAGAAAAAAAATAACCTAACATTTACTATTTTTGAGGATGCATTACAAATACTTTCTTAAGCTAAAATACTTTCTAAATAAATATGTCTTAAAGCAGTATTTTTCAAACAGTGATTTGCAAAGTACTAGTAGCCAAAGAAATCAGTGTAATGGGTTTGACCACTAAAAAAAAAAGAAATACAAAGAACAAAACAGAAAATTACTATATATACTGCCTTAAGGAATTCAACTATATTTGGTTTTAGAATGTAATAGTTTAGAGTAACTGATAAACCCATAAAACAAGGCAATCAAAGCAATTTATCTTATAAAAACATCTAAGATCTTCAAATGAGAAAACACTTGGAAGAAGTTCCACTTGAAATTAATAAATTATAGTATATAGTTATATAGTATATAGTATATTATATAGTATATATTAGTATATAATATATATAGTACATAGTATATATAGTATATAGTGCATAGTACATACTATACACTATATAGTATATACAGTAGTGTATATATAACATATAGTATATATACTATATAGTATATATATAATATGTAGTATATAGTAAATATAAATATAGTATATAGTTATAAATTAGGGGCCACAGAACTTTTTCTGTAAAAGGCCAAAGAGTAACTTTTGGGGCTTTGTGGGCTATATGGTTTTTTTGTAACTATTTGCCTCTATATTTGCAGCACAAAAGCAGACAATGACAATATGTAAACTGGCCAGTATGGTAGTCTTCCTACAAAATTTTATTTGAAAATATAGGAGACTTTGAGGACCTAGTCCATAAGCTGTATGTAGTTTGTAGGCCAATGGCATAAAGAATTTGTTTCTATACCAAAAGGCTAAAACCTTACCTATCTTAATGAATCGACAAGGGAACATCTGTTCATCAATTTTATGCTTCAAGGTGAATGTTTCTTTGTTATAATCATTCTTTAAACCACTGTGAGGAAAAAAAATAAGGTTATCAAATTTGGTTTTATAATTTAGCAACACACAAAAATACAGAATAATGCCATACTCAGACTGTAAGTTCAAACTAATATTCATAGTATTTGATCAAGACAGCATAAAGAAGTAGTTGAACGTGGGAATACAGGCCAAAGCTTGTACATTTAAACCAACTGCAACACAAATGCATTATATGAGGGCTAATGAAAAATATTCAGTCTTCACAGATGTGTCTATAGTGTATGGTAAAGTATTACAGAGCCTAGTGTCCTTAACATATAACTGTATGTGTATGACATAAAATTTCTAAGTCATGTGGAGAAATTTTTTAAAAATTCACTCATATCTGACAACTTAAGCTAAATAATAGAATTTATCAAAGAATTAAGTTACTTAATTCTCAATGAGATGTCAATATTCCTTTTACAATTCAAAAGCTTTTCAAGGTCAGTCTTACTCTATAGGTTTAAAATCATCAACTTTCTCCTAAAGACAATTAATCCATATTACCTCTCTATTTAACCAAATAGCACTGACACAAGTATTTACAGAAGAATCATTTTCCTTTCAGGTTGCTTTATGTCCTGAAGTACTTTCACAACTTAAATCAAATACAGGAGTAATATTTGCTTATATAAAGTACTGTCAGTGGGCATAACATGTCATAGATATATTCTACATCTCTACAGCTTTATTTGTCCCTTTCATTGGCTCTCTGATTTTTCATTCTGAGGTACAACTTAACATTCCTGGTGCCTCATGTTTTAAAACTCAAATTTACTGAGCTCTTTCCAAGTGGCAGGCACTGTGCTAGATATAGTCACATACTTTTTTAATTTACAGAACCTTCTTGTTAGTCTCCATCTTATAATGATTATTCTCATCAATGTTTCAGATAGGATTTATATTTTTAGAGCAAGGATTTTTTTTTTTCTTCCGAACTTCTATCTTCCTCTATAACAAAGAGTTTGGTTAAAGCTGAAAGTGTTACTCACAGTTCAAAATTATGACTGAAACAGAAGGGGAAAAAACGGATTCTTTCTTCATTGCTAACCATATATATATCATTTTGTTGAGAGAGGGTCTCACTATGTAGTTCAGGCTGGCCTTGAACTTACTATGTAGCTCAGGGGGGCCTCCACCTCATGGCAATCCTCCTGCCTCAGCCTCAAGTACTGGGATCACAGGTGTGCATCACCATGCCTGGCCATCACTAACGATATTAACTAGTATCTGGTGGTTAAAAATAAAAAAGCTAATTGCAAGCCACATTATTAAAATAAAGAATGAGGAGCAAAATAGGAGAAACATTCTTTACTCCCTTGAAAAAACCCACACAGATGTACCTACAAAGAAACTAAGACTATGGATTGCTTAGAAATACTTTCTTCCGAGCTGAGGATTTAGCTCAGCGGTTCTGCCACCTGCCTCGAAAGCGCAAGGTCCCAAGTTCGATCCTCAGTACCAAAAATAAAAGAAATACTTTCTTCCCCACAACATAACTCACCTAGACAATAGCTCTGTCATATTTTCTTCATTCATTCCACCAAAGACTTTAAATTTCTTCAAATTGCAGACGTGAGTTTTCTCATATTTTCCAAATGTGATATTCTGAACTATAGCAGGCCTTTCAAGCTTTAGAATCAAGTACTAAAAAAAAGAAACAATGAAATTATATTCTCTATTTCAGACAAATAGACAACTTTAAAAGTGGAAAGTTTTAACATTAAAAGAAGAATGAATAGGGTCCAACCTGCAGTGGCAGGTTTATTTTTTAGCTAAAGAACAGTATACAACAGCTTTATAAAGACTACCAGACCATCACCACTTTTTCACATTAGTAGGGCCCAGAAGCTACATTATTTAACATTATAGGTAGAGGAGAAAACATGAACTAGTGAAATAACTTCTAATGAAGGAATAGTACTGAATAAAAGATATAATCACACTATGAACAACCAACTAAAACAAGATTAGAATGCAAAAATCACAACTACATATTCCCATGGAGTTCACTAGCTATTCAATGTTTGAAGTCAATGATAAAATTTTTAATCCAGAAACAAGTTTAGAGATTTACTTCCAACTCTGCTCAATTTTACAAATTAAAAAATCCAGACCTACTATTGGTCAATACAGTAGGATCGGTTAGATCCGAGAAACACCTATACTCTTTTCAATTATAGAAATTGAGGAAAATTACCATTGATAGACTACATGTCAAAAAAGCTATTAAAAGAAAACAATTCAGATGTTTTGCTGGAAAGATCTTATGCTTCATGATAATATTGGATAATGTAAGTAGTAACAGTAAAAAAAAATGAAGTTGGTGGGTCTATTACTAAATACAAAAATTAGCTCAAAATAAGTCAAAACTGATCCAAAATTGATCCTTTACAATCAAATACCAAAAAGTTATAGAGCTAAACTTTAAAACTCTTAGAGAAATATAAAACAGAGAGGCAAATATTCATGGCTTTGGATTTGACAATGAATTCTTGGATATGATGCAAAAGTACAAACAAGAAGTGTAAAATTTGGATTTCATCAAGATGAAAGCTTTTTGAGATAGGTATGGTAGCACATGCCTATAATCCCAGAATTGTGGGAGGCTAAAATCAGATGATCACAAGTTGAAACCCAGCGTGGACAACTTGGAAAAAAAAAATAGCTGGAATATAGCTCAGTGGGAAGGCCCTAATTTCAATTTCTAGTACTTAAAAAATATATTAAAACTCTGGTATCAAAGCATACTAAAGTGAAAAGATAACTTACAGAATGGGAGATTTGCAAATCATATATTTAATTAGTCTAAAATATAGAAAGCACAAATAACTTTTAAAACTTAACAACAAAAAGATAACACAATTTTAAAAGGTGGGGAAAGAACCTGAGTAGCTCTTTCTCCAGTGAAAATAAACAAATGACCAACAGGCACATCTGCTTAACATCATTAGTCATAATGAAAATCCAAATCAAAGCTACAATGAAATGCCACTTTATATCCACTTAAGATGGAGACAGGAAGCGAGGGAGGGAGTGAAAAAGGGGGACAGGCACAACCCACCATATGAATAACAAGAATTTTCAAAGATACAGGCAAAATGAAATTCTTAAATATTGGCTGATAGGAATGTAAAATGGCACAGACACTGTGGAAAATAGTTTGAAGGTACCTCAAGAAAGTTAAAAAGAATTACTACAAGACCAACAAGTACATAATCAAAGGAAGTGAAAACCACTTATTGGAATAAACATTTGAATATGTATGTACAGAGAAGTATTATTCACAATAGCCCAAAAGTAGAAAGAACTCAAATGTCCATACAATGATAAATGGCAACAAAAAAAAAAAATGCAGTACCTCTATTACAATAGAGTATCATATAACCATAAAAAAGAATTAACTACTATACGTGCTATAATATGAATTAATCTCAAAAACTTGCTAAGGGAAAGAAGTCAGACACAAAAAGGTCACATACTGTATGATTCAACTTACATGAAATATCAGTAAGTAAAGACTAAATATGGAAAGCAGATTGGTGATTGCTAAGAGTTGGGTTAAGAGAGAAAGGAGAAATACTTAAGTCCTTAAGTATAAGTTTCCTTGTGAATGATAAAAACATTTGGGAACTAGATAGAGGTGATAGTTGGACACTCTTATAAACATATTTGATGGCACTGAATTATACATTTTAAAAGTTAATTGAATAATGAATTTTACTTCAATTTAAAGAATGATTTCAGACCACTCTGAAATAAAAGTGTCTGCAATATCATGCACCCTCCAAAGGAACTGGGGAAGGATCCTTCTTTGTCTTTTCCAGTACCTGATGTTCCTGATGTTTCTTGACTCATGGCAGCCTAACTCCAATCTCTCCCTCCATCTTCACAGCTTTCTTCCTTGTGTCTTGTGTCTTCTCCTTTTCTATGTCTAGTAAAGGTACTCCTCATTTGATTTAGGGCCTACTCTAATCAAGGATGATCTCAATTAGATATCATCACTTAATTATATCTGCTAAACAATTATTCAAATAAGGCCACATTCCTAAAGTTTCATACATCATTACTGCTTTGAGTGGAAGGGGAAGGTAAAATACATAACTCACTACACAGTACTAGCCCAGGCAAAAAAACAATTAAGGCTTATGAAAATGAGCTCTAGGTCCTGTTAAAAATGTCAGGGTTGTGCAATCTAGTAAGCAAGGCAGAAAATGGTATGTGATGAGAATGAAGAGGTGGGTAGCCACCAGATCATGCAATGTGCACCCGCATTATGTGGATTTCAAATTCTGAATGCGGTGGGATCTATCTAGGTACAACGGAAAGCCACAATCTGACAACACACAAAATATATAGTCTGCTTTGTGAAGAATGGATCAGCGCCAGTTACAATGCTGTTATAATAATTCACATAAATGAGATGAAGGAGATTTGGACTAGAATGATGTGGAGTTGGAGAAGACTAAACAGTTTCAACATACATACTGGAGAAATAAGTGGTAGAATGGATGACTAAATGTAGGAAGGGGAGACGAAGGTAATCAAGGATGATGATTTAGTTTCTAATTTGAATAATAAGCTAGCTACTAATATTATTTACTCTGACAGGAAGAACTGACAAATAGATACGAAGCATAAAAAATGACAACAGTCAAGTTCGAACAATAGATCTATGAATGTCTGAGGCTGTGTATAAATCATGCTGGTATCTTAAAAACAAGTGATTTATGATTTCTCATGATTCTGTGGGTTCACTAGGCAGTTCTTGTACTGGTATCTCCAAGACTCACTTATGTAGCTGTATTTAGCTGGTGGACTGGCAGGCAAACTAGGCCTTGTTGGGGTGTGAAGAGGCTGGGCTTAAATGGGATTGGGCCTCTCCTTGTCAGCTTTCAGTCGAATTCAAGAAGGCTAGATGGGCTTTCCTCAATTCACAGTTGTCTCAGAGTTCCAAGAGATCTTGCTAAGAAATCATAATTGAATTTTCTGTTGGTCAAAGCAAATTACAAGGCCAGCCAAGATTCATGACACGGGGAACAGACTGCATCTCCTGCTGGAAGGAACTGTAATTTGTGACCATGTTAAGAAATATAAACTCTTTTCTGAGGACAGTAAAGATAATTGTAAATCATACATCTGATAAAGGACAAATGTACACAAAAACTCTCAAAATTCAACAATAAGTAAACAACAAATTTAAAAACTGACAAACCATTTAAGAAGACATTTTACCAAAGAACACTTAAGAAGGCAAACAAGCATAAGATAATTATTGTTAGTAATTGTAAAAATGCAAATTAAGACCACAAATACACATACATTAGCAATACATCTTTATTTATACCAGCCCGAAACTGTAAAACCCAATGCCTAACAATATGTATAAAGATGAACAGATTAGGAGACATTCATAAAAGAATTAAGCTAGGCAATATAAAAAGATAAAAATGGATGCATTATTTATACAAACTATAACAGGAATGAATCTTAATTACTTTCAGTGAAATAAATAAAACAAAAAATAAATACTGTATTGCTCTATTTATATAATACCCTAGAAAATACAAACTATAAAAACTAGGAAATGCAATCTGTAATGAAAGAACACCCATCAGTGGTTGCTTGGAGACAGGGAAAGAGGTGGGTAGAAGGGATTAAAATGGAACATGAAAAACTTTTGGAGGTAACAGATATGTTTAGTATCTTCAATGTGGGTATTTTCAAGGACCTATATTTATGTCAAAACTTGCTAAATTATATACCAAAAATGTATGTCAATTACACCTCAATAGCTATTAAAATATAAATAAAAGACACAGGTAAGCCACAAACTGATAAAAAATATCTACAGTATATAGCTGAAATAGGACTTACATCAGGAATAGATATAATCAATTCTTAACATACAATTCAATAGCAATCAAAAAGTAAAGAACTTTGCACTCTTAAATGGGTAAAAAATTCATTGAAAAGCTAAATGAACATTTAAAAAACAAATTGAAAAAATACTCAGTATCATTAGTCATCAGGGATTTACAAATTAAAACCACTTCACACCAATAATTACTAAAATTAAAATGTGTGTCAATACCAAATATTAGTAAGGTATGAAGTGACAAGTCTGATAATTTCACATAAAATATATTCCTACCTTATGATACAGCAATTCTAATTTTAGATATTTACCCAAAATAAATGAAATATATTATTTTAAAAATCTTATAAAAGAACACCCATAAAAGCTTTATGCATAATCATCAAAACAAAAACAACCAAAGTCCCTAAATAGAAGAATGGATGAACAATTGTGGTACATGCATACAAAGGGATAGTATCCTGTAATGTAAAGAAAATATTAATGCACATGACAACATGGATAGATATCAAAAAACATACTTAGGATAAAAAGTCTTTTTTTTATTTTAAAAATTTAAGCATATTGAATACAATTTACATGATGGGAAAATACCTTCACTGGTAGAAACCACACTAATGACTCTTGACATCAAAAGTAGCCAATCTGGGCCAGGGATTTAGCTCAATGGTTCCAGCACCTGCCTTGCAAGCACAAGGTCCCAGGTTTGATCCCTGGTATCAAAAAAAAAAAAGTAGCCAATCTGAGAGTGTTCAGTTCTCCTTGTTGA